TAGCTGTGCCAAACAGCATTTCGCGTTGTCCACATCTTTGTTAATGTCCTTGCTACAACATAGTTCTAACACTAGAAACTGCCTGCTGTTGATCGATTTTAACAAATATAAATACTTAAAGGTCGTGGCTCACAATCCACAGCTTCATCTGTTGGAGGAGTTTTAACCTAAATCAGCACTGAACTGGGAGAGATTCTGGAAGTTCTCCTTTGTTAAATGCTACAGCTATATCTTATTTATAATTCTCTGGAATATAATTAACATTAATTTGTAAGCACTTCTCTCTTTGTGTCATGTCCTTTGTAAGACCAAATACAGGAACAGAAGAAGCTCTGTGGAAATAGCAGTGTTTGGACAGCATTTTACCTTTCTCTGCTGTAACATAACAGCGCCTCTAGCCATGCCCCTTCACTGTGTAGGGTGTGTGCTTGTGGTAAATGCATGTAACCGGAAGCCCTTGTGATCTCTCTAACCCCAAAGATGTTGTTTATGTTCACACAGCTACATTACACATCAACTAAAGTTTAAAATATGATATTGTAGTGATTTTTGCATAATAGGTCCCCTTTAAATGGTCAAAAAGTGTATTTACGCCTTTCACTCAGTTTTGTGACGTGCATAACCGATGTATTTCTGCTTATTATTTTCTTCTCAATTGTTTTAACTTTCACATGATATAGCATTTGCCACTTACATTTGAAAATGAACTACTAGAGCAGAAACCAGCCATTTTGCTTCTTCTCCCGTCCTGTGGTTACCTAACTACGGTTGTTACTGTGATGGTACAAACATTCTGGGCTTCAAAACCCAAGTGTGCATCTATATATAATGTTCTGTATTATAAATGAACAGTGTAAACAGTCCAGCAAGGGCAGGGGGAGGTCAAGGTACGAATCGGGCTATCAAACGCAATATTAAACCTAGCAACCTTAAAGACATAGTTCACCCGAATGTTTAGGCATTATTTACTCATCCTCAAGTGGTTACAAACCTTTATGAGTTTCTTTCTTCTGTTGATCTCAAATGAAGATATTCTGAATCAAGCTGTTACCACAATGGCTACAGGTTTCCGACATTTTTCAAAACATATTTTTCTGTGTTTTGCTGAAGAAAGTGAACAGTGAAAAAGGATTGAAAGAAGTAAAGGGCTGAGTAAACAGAATGTTAATGTTTGTGTCAACTATCCCTTTAAAGTGAGACATATCAGCCTGTACATGAGATATGTTCCATTTGATATCTGAAAATGTGCACTTACATCCAGCTCTAATTGAATTTTCAGCTCATGTCTGTGAGTTCCCCTTCAATAGCGGCATTTTAAATGGCCTTTCATGGCTCTTGGTTAATTGGAAGCACATGTTAGTGGAGTGGATTCAGGTTTCAAGACTCTACCATTTCAGTGGTGGGCAACCCACAAAGGCAGCATCTGATTCTTATTTCACATTAAATGAATTTTAGCCTGCCATTTTGCAGGGGAGGCATTTTCTAGAGCCATGCTGTGCAACGTTTGTGAGAGGCTATAAATGTGTTTGAGTTTGCTAATGGTGTTTGAGTTTGCTCACAGTGTTTGTCCTTGCAGTTGTTCTTGTATTGTGTGGTCATTGCTTTCCTGTTTCTGCATTATGCAAACATGTACTCGTAACAGCCTTGTTCTGTTTATAGAGCTGCAGTTTAATGAAAATATCAGCGAAAGCCTGGAGGAAGGTGTTGTAACATATAAACCTTTTTTTCGCCTTTGCTTTATTGGTGTTTAATAAGCAATTTTTAAAAACTAAAATCTTGTTGAACATGATGTTGTTGACTTTTGACTGACCTAAATTGGTTCAAATGTAATAATTATGCACACATTGTTTTCTACTTTCTTCTACTGATTTAAGTGTATTTTTGTTCAGTTTTTGATTTTATTCATTAATATAGACAAAATGTTTACCTGTTTTCGTTATTTTTGTGCGCAAAACAATGTGTAAGTAATATTTTTTGTCTTTTAGTGGATGTATCATATAGGGATGCAATGATTAACCGGTTTCAATATTAACCGCGATTTAATTCGTCACGATTAATTAATCGTAAAGGCTTCTCAACACCATGTTTTTGCATGGAACAAAAATGCAGTAGTTAAACAAAGATATGCCAGCTGTGCGCTAGTTTGTACACCGAGACTAATAACCACGCACACTGGACTAACTTTGACCGAGGCAATTAATTAAGGCAAGCTCATTCAGGTTCGTTATTTCCAATGGAGGGACGCTCATGCAAAGCGTTTACAAGGCTTTTGTGACCGCGGGAACTGTGACAGGTTTGCAAACCCACTTAAACCCACTTACAAATAATGGCGCCGATGAGAGCGATCATGTGCCGAGTGTTGATCCGACAGCCGAGATCAATCGAGTGTTTTCGGAGAGAGTGCTGAAAGACTCAAGCCTGTTTTAGAACGCATATGTGAGCAGCGGATGTTTTTTTGGTGTCCATGTTAACAGATTAGAGCTTTCAAGCAGTGTGTCAGTGTGAGGCATGAGCGTCACTGAAGCAGCAGTACTGTGATAGTTTTGGCACTGGGTCTCTTTTTGCCGCACTGCACACGGTCAATCAAAGTGGCAATGCATTGATAATGACCAAAAACACATTGAATGACAGTAAAAAGCAATTTTACCCAATAAATGCATCAATAATATCCACTAATTTTTATATAGTCTATAAAATGAACTTTTAAAACGGTAACAAATATTTATTTAGGCCCGAACTACAAAACCAAATGTAAAACAATTTTAGTTTTAAACTAGTCGAGTTTTGAAATCAATGAATGCCAATAATCGTTATGAAACCGTGATTATTTCTTAGACTATAATCGTACAACCAAAATTTATAATCATTGCATCCCTAGTATCATATAGACTGTTTAACTTTTTTTCTTTTTACCAAACAAATGTACACCCTCAGAAATAAAAGTATGAGATTTTAAAAGCTACACATTTTTACCTAAAGGGTACATATTAGTACCTAAAAAGTACAAAAGTGTATCAAAATGTTTAGGTACAAATATAAGCTTTTGAGTACACCATACGGAGCCTTTAGGTACGAATGTGTATGTTTTATAAAGGTACATTGACAGCTCTTGTGTCTTTATTTACGAGAGTGTATATTTAGATTTAACATTCATATAAAGCTTGAACAAAATGTGAGATGTTACTCTCTAAATCATTTGTGTTGTTCCATCGATTTATTTTTACCAAGCTGCAACACTTAAATAGTAAATAAAGAAGTATTGAAAAATAAAGAGGATGGATGCAACTTTCTATTTTAGTTATTTTCTTCAAATTTGACTTTTAAACTAGCAGTTTTGTGTTCTGAGAAAATTGAAAAAATTGTAATACATGACCTTGCAAAAATAGCAAAAAACCTTTTATAGAAAAAAGAATTCAAGAATTAAAGACACAAAGATTCATTCATTCATTTTCCTTCGGCTTAGTCTCAGGGAAAACATGCAAACTCCACACAGATGGAAAGGTAAGGGCATCTTTACAAAGAAGGAACATTTAGCTCCTTTGAACAGCTAAAACAAAATTACAGCCTTACTTCCTCAAACTTTTCTCGCTATCTGCAAGGTAGAGATTTTGTTAGAAAACATATTAAAGACTTCAACAGTAAAACAGATAAAATAAGACATGACTGGGAAGAGGAAATGGGTATTAACATTTGTGATGACAGACGGGATGAATGCTTGAGTAATGTACATGCATGTTCTGTGAACGCAAGAACTCATCTGATCCAATAGGGTCATTCTCAGGCTCCATTATTCTAAATCAAAACTTCATAAAATACTCCCAACAATCTCTGCATGTTGTAATGTGCAATGTGTCAGCACTAGTAACTCTTTTTCAATCTTTTTGGTCATGCAGTAAACCACAACCATTCTGGAAAGATATATTGAAATTTCTTTCTGAGGTGTATTCAACGAATCTAGAACCTGCCCCGAGCAGAGGACAGTTATTTCTGTAGAAACTGAACACAAGCAATTCTATGCTGTATGTGTATTGCAAAACCTTTTGCAAATGGTGAATCTGATACTGTCCCCACCTTTGAAATGTGGGAGAACTTGGAACTTGGAAAATCACCTGCGACAAATTATCCAATTTTTAACAAGATTTTTGAACTATTCATAATGTTTTTTGCAGATAGACTGAACTGATGTGTTAATTTATTTATTTAATGTATTTGATTTTATTATTTATTTTAGAATTATCTAATTTATATAATTATTTTATGTCTCTTTTGGTTTCATTGTCCATGTAAACCTTGCTTCAATTTTTAATATTTGTCCCAGCCAGATCCATATTGTAAATGTTACTCATTTATGCCTTTTATTTTATTTTTATGAACCTTCCACAAACATTTTCATCAATGTTAGATGGGTGGGGTGGGAGGTAGAAAGCGTAGAAAGTCAAATATGCAAGAGAAACGTGTAAAATTGCAGTTCTAAGAAAAAAGAATAGCAAGAAAGCTTTTTATAACTGCAACAAAGTCAAACAAACTCAAAAAAGCATTTCAAAATATAAAATGAAAGCCTGTAAACTGCTTTCGCAATGCATGAAGATGCAATTCTGAGATACATTTCGAGATTCAAACTGAATGTGTTGACATATACTTAAACTTTGTGAAATGTAAGCTAAATTGCAAAACTCAGAATTCTCTAAAACAGGTTTTCAGACTATTTAAAGTAAGCATAAGTGATAATCTCTATAATAAATCTGCAGTTATGTTTTTGCAGTTATGTCGGTTTAAAATCACAAAAGAACCGCCTAAAGAATCGTATAATGAGCCAAAAATGAAGGGCCGTTGATTGCTTCTGAGGCTGGTGAGCTGATAATTGAATATGATATACGCATTAACACGAGTTTAATGCTTAAAATGCAGTCTAGGTAGAAAAACGACCTCACCCGTGTATTGAAACACGCCCCTGTTTCAGACACTCCCTCCTGTTAAATCGCGGATTGAAAAAAGAATTTCTACAGTGTCTGCAAACACTTCAGCTTTTCTCCTGCACTGCCAGCCGTCTGCATCTGCCACAGCCTCGTAAGTTGTTTTCATTATTCTGTTTTTACCTCACGTCTATCTGCATAACACCAGACTAATGGATTGAGTCGTTTTATAACTGTTTTCTCGCAACTCTGCAGTTGCTTACAGAACAGTCCTGGTAAAGTCTATAAATGTTTCTTTGTATAAACACAAGCTGACGCGGAGTTTCCGAAATATTTGTCATCCAGATGTGAACACGGTATAGCGTGCGTCACGAAGCCTGTATGAGACAAAGTCCAACTCTTACTTTGCTGTTGGCTATAAAAGTGAGCATTCATTCATTTTCCTGCAAGCACTGAATTAAGTGAAGTACAGCAGAGAAGGAAAAATCATCGGGGTGAAATGAAAATGTTTGAAAGATTTGTAGAATAGTAGCATGTCATGCGCTATAAACAAACAAACAAAACTACTTTAGCCCCTCTTTTTATTTAGTGACCTTAAACTCTACATTTAAATTAATCACTTGGTGCCACATTTTTACATTGTACTTGTATTTAAATCATCCCTGAATGTACTTCTGCAATTCATTCCTGTACCTTCATTTAATTACAATGACCCTCCCTTTAAACTACCCATACCACCAAACCTACCCGTTTTTCAACTCAATAGCACCATAAACATCTTATAACATGAACAGATAGCATTTATTTTTGCTTTCAGTAAAGTTTTGGGATATAAACTGTTATTAAATGTTTATTACATTAAATGTACCATAAAATAATATAGAATATCAGTTTCAAAATGTCATGTTTATTGTGTTATATTCTAATTTAAATTTTACCATGTCCTGGTGTAAACTTTTTAGGTTTAAGTGTATGCAGCTGTCTCAGCACATGTAACATGTCATCATTACGGACTTTCGAATGTACATTTTATGCAAATGCTGCACACATGCACTGATCAAAATGTAAAATAAAAGATATTAATTCTGTAATTAATGTAATTGCATTTATATTTACAATGTTGACCCATCCCTTAAACCTTAACCATTCCTTTACGCTACCCATACCACCAAACCAGTCCTAAACCTATTTGCTTTTCAACTCAATAGCACCGTAAACATTTTATAACATGAACACATAGCATTTATTTTTTGCTGTCAGCACATGTCTATTGTATAAAGTGGGTGCATATAAATGATTATTAAAAATGTATTTCTGTAAGTTTACCATAAAATAATAAATAACTTCTGTTTCAAAATTGTCATGTTTAATGTAGCATAATAATTAAAATTGTGGCATTTCAGGGGGAAAACTGTTTGGTTTTAGCATATGCAGCTGTCTGTGGTTCAGTATTAAATTATACAGTTGAAGTCAGAATTATTAGCCCCCTTTTATGTATTTATTTCTGTCTCTTGTTTAACAGAGCAAGGAAATTTTCACAGTTTGTCTGATAATATTTTTTCTTCTGGAGAAAGTCTTATTTGTTTTATTTCGGCTAGAATAAAAGCAGATTTACATTTTTTTAAACACCATTTTGAGGACAAAATTATTAACCTTTTTAAGCTATATTTCCCCCCCCGTCTGTCTACAGAACAAACCATCATTATACAATAACTTGTCTAATTACCGTAACCTGCCATGTTAACCTAATAAACCTAGTTAAGCCTTTAAATGTCACTTTAAGCTATATAGAAGTGTCCTGAAAAATATACAGTCAAATATTATTTACTGTTAGAAATGAGTTGATGAGAAATGAGTTATTATAACTATAAACATAAACTAATTTGTTTAGAAATGTGTTGAAAAAAATCGTCTCTCTGTTAAATAGAAAATGGGGAAAAAATAAACAGGGGGTCTAATAATTCAGAAGGGGTAATTCCAAGTTGTGCTCACTGCTGAGCCAGTTGGGCAGAGCTGAGATCCAGCAAGGGGGAGCTTGAGCTCCAGTTCCTCCTTCCTTGCACTTCTTCTACAAGTGATGTCACTGGGGGTTGGGGTTAGAGGTGAGGTGGGTGTACGCATTATAGTAGGAGGAGTTTGAGCTCAAGCTCCCCCTCATTGGAGTCCAAGTGACTGTGCAGCGAGCAGTGTCGCAATAATTCTGACTTCAACTGTATGTGGTACATATGTCATAAGGATTTTTGAATATACATTACTTTTGCAAATTTTGTACACATTTACTAATCAAAATGTAATATAAAGACATTATGTTGACATAGTATGATATTAAGCAGCAAATCATCATATTAGATTATTTCTGAAAGGTCACTTGACACTTAAGACTGAAATAACCATGATTCAAACATAGCTTTGCATTACAGGAATGTACACATCGTATAAACAGCATTACACAATCACATTTAATCATTAAAACAGGAGGAACTAAGGCCCCGTTTACATTAATGCGTTTTAGTTTGAAAACGCATAAGTTTTGCTACGGTTATGCCAACCGTCCACACTATGCCGGAGTTCTCGAGCGCCGAAAACGGAGCGTTTTGAAAACGCTGGAGAGGCCGTTTTCATTCTGAAACGCTGCTGCTCCGTCAGTGTGGATGATGGAAAACGGAGACATCTGAAAATGGAGGCGGGGCTGCAGACATTCGCCTCTCTGATTGGGGCTTTTCCTCAATATTAAGTAGCCTAACACACACAGTTTAGTCCTGCATCTTCTCCGTGTAAGTTCAGACTTCGCAAGTTTGATCAAGGCTGCAGTCTCTTCTTCTCAGTTTGATATGGAAAACAGACTATACCGAGGACACGGGTAAATCTTCAAAGGGAACAGTGTACTTCATTCACATCACCCTGGCTACGTTGTTTTACTTTCTCAACAATAAAATGTAAACATGATTTAAGGAACTGCCTATTTTCATTTTAATATTAGCAACTAAACAGACAGCAGAAATGTTGAGGCGGCGTGCTGCATATATGAGCGTCATCTTCACTTTGTGGATATTTATAACAAAACGGAGCCGATAACAACTGTCTCCTTTCAATTTCAGTGAAAATACGAAACATACCCTCTCTTTTGCTGAATATCAGTTTTAATAATCGATAATAGTGTGGACGGATGGCGTAACCGTAGCAAAACTTATGCGTTTTCAAACTAAAACGCATTAGTGTAAACGGGGCCTAAAACGCACTAGTGTAAACGGGGCCTAAGTGAAGTTTATAAATTAATTTTAAGAGGATCACGTGATTATCATTGAACAGTGCTGGTTCCACATTAACTAACGTATAATTCACCAATTAGCTGAATCCTAACCCACTATAAAGAGCCAGGGTTTCTCACTACAGTTTGATTTATAGAATCCCCCTTCCACCCCTGCTCCTCCACCTTTCCCTTCACAGGGCGGCACGGTGGCCCAGTGATTGACATTGTTGCCTCACAGCAAGAACATCACCGGTTCTAGTCCTTTAACAGGCCGTCTGTTGATTCTGTGCAAAGTTAGCATGTTCTTCCCGTGCTCACATGGGTTTCCCACCACATTCGCTGGTTTCCTTCTACAGTCCAAAAACTATACCATAAGTCAATTGATCAATCTAAATTTAGCACTACCGTCAAAAGCATATCTCTTCTGCATATGTTCTGTCATCAGCTGTTATCAAAACAGGGGGAGATCTAGAAACCTATGTAGCTCAGGTAGAGAAACGTGAGGGAGCCCAGGGCTCAATGACCTTTGAGCTCAGGGCTCTCTCACGGGGCAGCATGCCAAACTTGCTTTAAAATCAATCATCAGCTAAGTGTGAACTCTTGAATAACTATTAAAGGCTCTAAAACAGCCATTTACATCTGCTGCAGGAAATATGTAAACACGTCCATTTGCATGAATTGGGTTTTCCCTACTTCAAAGGCAAGACAACAACAAAGAATTACCACAGAGGCGTGTTATTTCTTATTCTTAGCACAACAGGCCAACACCTTGTTAAATGTCAGGATTAGTTTCTATGCAATGCTTATGTTTACAGTTCAGGTGACTCGTAAGTCAAGTATATCGCCTCGTTCTGTGTTTCTCTTGCTTATCAGCTGGTCACCACTATCCTCTTTTTCAAAAGCCCACAGTCTTATCTGTCCGTCACACTGGCGTGGAGGTGTGATGCATAGGGCATTTGCATCTGAATTTTTGCATGTGAGTAAATGGCGCCGAGAGTTTAGGTGGACAGAGATAGTTGCCTGTGCCAGATTGCGTGTTTTATGGGAGCCGGTGATTCCAGAATCACAGAACATTCAGATTATATTCTCTGTAGCAGTGGAGCGTTTCCTCATTGACATTGCGATGTTTGGATTTTAGTCAAAATCGTGTTAGATGTAAGTTGTCACAAGTCAATTTTGCAGTATTTCATAACTTTTTGATGTAGTGACTAAATTATATTATTTTGTATAATCCCATTAGTATATTTTAGTATGAATTCCACATCCCCCCAATGATGGTTGAGTTCAAGGGGTGGGGTATGTTGGCACATTTATTCATTCATTCATTCATTCATTCATTTATTTTCCTTCGGCTTAGTCTCTATTTCAGAGGTCGCCACAGCGGAATGAGCCGCCAACTATTCCAGCGTATGTTTTACACAGCGTATGTTTTTTCTAGCTGCAACCCAGTATTGGGAAACATCCATACAACCTCATTAACACACATACACTATGGCTAATTTAGTTTATCACCTGTACCGCATGTCTTTGGACTGTGGGGGAAACCGGAGCACCCGGAGGAAACCCATGCAAACACAGGGAGAACATGCAAACTCCACACAGAAATGCCAACTGGCCTTGTCGGGACTCGAACCAGCACCCTTTTTATTGTAAGGCGACTATGCTAACCACTGAGCCACCATGCCACCCAAAATCATACGTTTTCATTCAAATTTAATTGGGTGAAATTCTACAATAACAATACATGAATAATTATGTTAATATATCAGAAATAGTTAAACGTTACTTCATTATGAACTAATGATCAGTTAAAGCATGTACTAATCAAGAATTAACTTTAACTACAACATGCGTCATATGATTCCATGAGTGGATACTGGCTGCTTTAAGTACTTGTTAGTTCATGTTTATTAATTATGCTCCGGTGCAGCCTTCGTGCGGTCGCATAACCCTTGTCGTGGCTGACGTGCACTTCTCAAAAGATGTAACTACACGTCGCAACGACGCATATTGCACACTTATCTGTGATTGGTCTGTGATAAGTGTTGGTGGTTCTGAGAGCCGCGAGCCTGATGGAGCGAGTGTTTACAAGTGTGGAGTGTTTACAAATGTCTCGTGAAAAAGCTCTAGGTGTTAATCGTTGTTTTGTGTTTACCTTATGATTAAGGTTGGTGCACCTGCACCGGTTCCCACCTTTGAATAAGCGAGTTTTAGCTACTTGTACATCAAGGTAGCATTCAGAAAAAACTAAACGCCTGCAAAGAAATTAAACACAGAGGAACTTAAAACCCGCTGCCAGCTAGCGTTTTGAAAGTTTTATTACAGAGAAACACAAACAGCACGCATAGGTATAAATGCACGACTACGTGCAGGGCAGGCGCTGTGGGACATGCTGATTACTCGACGCAGGAGTATAAATCAGCCTTTAGTTAAAGCGAAATGTAACTAACATAATCTCATGGCCCGGTAATGTATCTTTATGTACAGTAATCACTTTACTTGGAGGGGCACATTATCATGAACTCATTCTTAAGTGTGTTACTGTTGTTTTTTAATGGAAACACACACTAGACAGACTTGTATAACTGTTACGTTTAAAGACAGGAGTCTGTGAACTGTGAATCTAAATAAACCAAAACAAATAAATGTGAAACTAAATAAATACATTTTAGAGGGTCATGACACCCCTCACTTTCGGTTCAGGTCTACCTCAGAATTTTTTCAATAGATGCATCTGAATGGGCGTGGAGCTCCGCGAGCAAAGGGCAGGAGTAGGCGTGGCCAGCAGGGGAGAAGGAGGGGAGTGAACAACTGTTGTCTGTCGGCTCACGAAATGAGACACAAACCCTGAGCAGACGCATGATTTTATAGTTTACAAAGTTAAAATGCAAAGAAATAAACAGTAATTTAATGCCCTGCTACACTTGTTATTCGTAATTTCATATACACATAACCACAATTTATACAACTGTAAAGATAAATGTTCATATAAGTGAAGTTTCATAAACTAATTTCGAGAGGAGCACGTGATATGATTGTGCACCGCTGGCCACTCATCCGTAATCAGTAATAATCCAATCAGAATGATCCTAGCTTAGTATAAATGGATCACTTTCTCCTCATCTTCATTATGGAAGAATCCCCCCTTCCACCCCATCTCCTCCTTTTTCTCCCCTTCTAAAGGGGGAGCAATCGAGACCTACCTGATCTCGGTTCTCCTGATATGCTTCTAGACCGGGCGGGAGCCCTGGGCTCAAATATCTCCGAGCTCAGGGTTCTCCCCCGGGACAGCATGCCAAACCTGCTATAAGTGCCAAGCATATTTAAGTGGGAACTCTTGAAACACAATGAGGACTTTTCCCTCAATCCCCTGGTCTGAATGCAGACTCAGTGCAGCAGGACTTTTGCCCTGTCTATTTTAGCCATTAGCCCTGTTGGTAATCTGGAGGATTTAGGCGCACACAGCAGCACGACAATGTGTCTAAATGTGAAGGAACTCCACTGATAAAAGACAAAGTCCGCCATTCTTCAATTCTCGTACTGCTCTCCCGACAAAAATGCTTGCTGCACACAAACAGCTTTGCTGTATCGGCCCTGACAGCATCGCGGGGAAAAACATACAACAAACCCTGTGGATCATGGAAATAAACACATACGACCCTTCATGAACAGCTATATACTGTGTGCCGTGGGTCCATGTCTCACAGCTTGGCACTGCTGGCAGGTCTGCCCTGCTTTCTGTAAGCATGTGCTCTCATGAATAATTAAAAAGCAAGCTCTTCTCATAGCATAAGAAAACTCCATTATGAATAATAATGAGAAACTAACACGCTATCTTTGCACTTGCAGTTTTGCGCTGCGTCACCGATTTTGATCCTGCCCCAAAAATCATTTTAAACCCGGAAGCTGAAATTAGCTGACAAAAGCTCGTAATTATCCAGTTTTCCCCACAATTACAGCTAACAGGTGCTAACATTGTCTTAACTGATACTCAACACACACAAAAAAATCTCAAAAAAAGTACTCGAGGGTTTCGTGAACCTTTAAAAGTTAGGTGTTTTTCTCTTTTTCGGTATATTGTGCTGTGCATATTACTATTATTGTATTGCTACATTTTATGCACTCCCAAAACCCACCAATCATCCTAAGAAGGATTTTATTCCAAATATAGCTGTTCCTGTCATCTGGTGAATCGTATCGCAATATATTTTGTAAAAATGCATGTAAATGTTTTCCAGGATTGTGCAGGCTATTTCCTCAGAGAAACAGATACTTCTTTTTTTCTCTAAAGCTTCTTTTGCTTACGCATTAGATGGTTCTCTGTATAGTGTAATTCTCTGAAAACACATCTCTAAAACACACGTCTCCTTTCCAGTCACTATGGTGTCCCACAAGGAGTTCACGACTGCCGGAAAGGTTTCTGGTCTGCAGGTGTGGCGGATTGAGAACATGGACCTGAAACCGGTGCCCAAAAATCTTCATGGCAGCTTCTTTACAGGGGATGCCTACATTCTGCTGCACACCACCAGCGCACCCTCCTACTCTATCCACATGTGGCTGGGTAAGTCACAGACTGTGTTAGTGTGCAAAACCTTTGTATAGCATCCTACCATTGGGTGTACTATGATGTGAAAGTCTCTTTTCAGGACTGCGTCATACTGCGACATTTAGATGAGGAAGGATGTGGCTTGTCTTTTATCAGTCGACTAATTTTTTAAGAGCTTTCTTAACTCTTGAGAAATCTGTATTGAGTAAGGTTTACAAAGAAATGGCGTATAGTTAAACACAAATGACTTCAGCGAGAGAAGATGGTTCTTGAATTTGCTTGGTCAATTGATGTTCAACCAATTCAGTATGACTTTTTGCAGTATGATTTTTCAGTACTTTTGGTCCTGGGAGCATTTGTTTATTTACTAATTGTCTTTGTTAAAGCATTTCAACAAAATCAGTAAGATGTGAGGAGGACCACAACATTTCAAACTTTTACATAAAGCAAATAAGTATGAAGTATGAAATAAGTATCCTTTGCTTTGGTGTCATGGTTTGGGAATCTTTCTGTCAAAAATAAATACTCACTAAATCAAATAGCTAAGTGGTCCAGTAAGCTGACCAGGGTGTCACTAGCCAATCTAGAGGCTGTGTACACCAGGCAGCTAAAGAGAATCACAAATTCAATTTTAAGTGACACTGCTCATCCCCTACACTCAGAGTTTCAGCTTCTTCCTTCCGGTCGCTGGTTTCTAGTATTAAGCTGTAGAATGAAACGATACAAAAATAGTTTCATACCAGCAGCCATTAGACATTTACATAAGGCATAGACTAAAGCAGAGATGTTTCGGTGACTTGCATATTTTAGATCATTTTAAACATTTACTTGGGGGAGGGGGGAGGGGGGGGGGGGTGGACACTTAAAGTGATTATTTATTCTTTATGTTTACATTTTATGTCTTAATGTGCATTTGTTGTTGTTACTGTTGTTACTGTGTGTTGTTGTTTCTGTGAGAAATTTCAAACCTTTTATATAAAGCTTATGTTCTGTTGAACCTAAAGAAGATATATATTTCAAGATTAGTGCAAGTGTATCAACAGTGCATCTGGAAAGTATTCATAGAGCTTCACTTTTTCCACATTTTTTTTTTAATGTTACAGCCTTATTCCAAAATGGATTGAATTTATTTCCTCAAACTTCTACACACAAGACCCCATAATGACAATGTGAAAAAAGTGATGAGATGTGAACAATGTGAAATGTGATTTTTTTTTAATTGTTGCAAATTTATTAAAAATAAAAAACCTGAAAAATCACATGTACATAAATATTCACAGCCTTTGCTCAATACTCTGTTGATGTACTTTTGGCCGCAATTACTTTTGCCCAATCTTCTTTGCAGTACCTCTTAATCAGGTTAGATGGGAAGCAATGCTGTGCAGCCATTTTCAGATCTCTACAGAGATGTTCCATAGGATTTAGGTCTGGGCTCTGGCTGGGCCACTCAAGGACATTCCCCCAGTTGTTGTGAAGCCACTCCAATATTATTTTGGCGGTGTGCTTTGGGCTATTGTCTTGCTGGAAGATGAACCGTTGCCCAGTCTGAGGTCAAGAGCACTCTGAAGCAGATTTTCATTCAGGATGTCTCTGTACATTTGTGTGCATTCATCTTTTCCTCTGCCTAGCATTCACTCCAAAGAGTTCAATTTTAGTCTCATTAGACCAGAGAATTTAGTTTAGTATGATCTGAGAGTCCTTCAAATCCCTTTTGGCAAATTCCAGGTGGGGAGTGGAATCTGTCTGGCCACTCTACCATACAGGCCACTTTGGTGGATTGCTGCACAGATGGTTGTCCTTCAGTAAGGTTCTCCTCTCTCCACAAAAGAACACTGGAGCACAGACAGAGTGTCCATCGGGTTATTGATCACCTCCCTGACTAAGGCCCTTCTCCCTGATCACTCGGCTTAGATGGCCGGCCAGCTCTAGGAAGAGTCCTGGGGGTTCCAAACATTTTCCACTTACGAATGATGGACCCCACTGTTCTCATTGGAACTTTCAGAGCAGCAGAAATGTTTCTGTAACCTTCTTCAGCTTTGTGCCTCGAGAAAATCCTGTCTTGGAGGTCTACAGACAATTCCTTTGTCTTCGTGCTTGGTTTGTGCTTTGGCATGCACTGTCAGCCCTGGGATCTTATATAGTCAGGTTTTTGCCTTTTCAAATCATGTCCAATCAACTGAATTTACCACAGGTGAACTCCAATTAAGCTGCTAAAACATCTCAAGAATGGACCTGAGCTCAACTTAGAGCTTTATGGCAAAAGCTGTAAATACTTCTGTACATGTGATGCTTCAGGTTTATTAATTTTTATTTTTTTATAATTTTTTTATTGTGTTTTTGACAAAAGGTACAGTACATTAAAGGTATTCAATGACAAAGGTATTTTCTTTTTTTTTTTGAACCATACATAAATTTGAAACAAAGACAAATGATCATAATAAAAATTATTATGAAAAGGAAATGCATTAATTAAAAAATATATTAATAATAAGAAGAAATAATAATAATAGTAATAATAATAATAATAATGAGAATAAAATAAAAAAAATTTACAAAAAGGAAGGAGTACATTAGTCTCAATATGAATTATTAGAGGGTCCCATGGTTTGAAAAATATTTGGTTGATCCTCTGAGAAAATATTAAATTTTTTTCTGTTTTCAAAAATAGCATTACATTACTAAGCCAAAGTGACAGTTTAGGTGGCATTGGTGATTTCCACTCCATAAGAATTTTTCTTCTAGCTATTAATGTTAAGGTTTTTTATTTTTAATACATTTGCAACAAAAAACTCTTTTTTCACATTGTCATTATGGGGTATTGTGTGTAGAATGTTGAGGAAATAAATGAATTTAATCCATTTTGGAATAAGGCTGTAACATAAAAATGGTGGAAAAAGTGAAGCACTATGAATACTTTTTTGGATGCACTTTAGTTGCCTGTGTTTACAGTTGTCAGTTTGTGCATGGTAGTTCAGCGACTCTTATTCACTTCACTGATCTCTGTAATAACTAGGTGGGTAAACCATCATTAGGTGGTGAGGCCATTGGAAGTGTTTGACTGGCCATATTGATATTCCCCATTAAAAACCTTGACCTAAAATTGCCATACATCATTTATACAGGAATCGTTTTTAGGATAGGTGTATGTAAATATTGAATGTTCTTTTGAGTAGGATTAGGGATATGTTGAAATCAGTAGGATGGGTGTGTCGGCTGCACACTTTGACACAGGTAAATAACTAAACACAAAATATTCGTTTCATAATACAGTGGTGTGAACAAGTGTTTGACCCCTGTTTTTTTACGTTTTTAGCACATTAAATGTTAAAGATCATCAAACAAATAAAAAAAATTGTCAAAGATAACAAAAGTAAGCACATCATGCAGTTTTGGAATGAAGGATTTTGTTATTAACACCCCCCCCACCACACACAAACACACTTAAATAATAATGCAGGTTTATCACACCTGAGTTTCTCTAGCCAAACCCAGGCCTGATAACTGCCACACCTGTTTGCAATCAAGAAATCACTTAAATAGGGCCTGCCTGACAAAGTGAAGTAGACCAAAAGATCCTCAAAAGCTAGACATGCTCAGGACATTTGCTTAGTATGTGCAGGTGCACATTTGTGAATTTTAGATCAATGAACAGTGTCTTCTTGTAAGGCAGTGTTTTCAAAACAGTCCCACAAAGACCAATTAATTCAGTGTTATGTGTAAACATTCTAGGGAACACCAATTTGGTGGTGTGTGGTGACCTTGCTTATTTGACGGCATGAGCAATTTAGTTTTCACTATAAATCAGTAAATAACATTAAAATTTTTTGACAGATTTTCCTATAAGACATCTAGTCATCAGAAATTTTGAGTTCGAATTTTACAGTTGCTCACTTGAATTCAGCACACTGGCCAACAGAAAGTTGCTTGGTTTGAAAGTCACCTTTGTCTGAGCGATGCTTCATATACAGTTGAAGTCAGAATTATTAGCCCCGTTTATTTTTATACGCAGTTTCTGTTTAGCGGAGAGAAGATTTTTTCAACACATTTCTAAACATAATAGTTTTAGTATCTCATCTCTAATAACTGATTTATTTTATCTTTGCCATGATGACAGTAAATAACATTTGACTAGATATTTTTCAAGACACTTCTATACAGCTTAAAGTGACATTTAAAGGCTTAACTAGGTTAATTAGGTTAAGTAGGCAGGTTAGGGTAATTAGACAAGTTAATCGGAAAGAAAATTTGCTTAATGGGCATAATAATTTTGACCTTAAAATGGCTTTAAAAAAATTAAAAACTGCTTTTATTCTTGCCAAAACAAAACAAATAAGACTTACTCCAGAAGAAAAAATATTATCAAATATACTGTGAAAATTTCATATAATAATATTTAAAAAACGAAAATAAATTCAGAGGGGGATAATAATTCTGACTTCAACTATAGGTTCAAAACTGTATTGTCACATTGCAGTGACAATAGTAGACATTGCATATTTTGTGCCGCCAGTATCTCACCCTACTTTTACACCAGTACATGTTGATAAGTGTCTATGTTAGGGCTGTAGAAAAGTCATTGAATTATTAACTTAACTTAAATTAATTCAGAAAAGAAACAAGTGACTTTGACTGGGACACTGAATCATCAAATCTAAAAACACATTCATTTTGGATCTGTGGGTTTTGCAGAGGAGCAGAAAGTTAATTTCAGTTGATTGGTTGAACAAAAAACAATTATCATTAATTTCATATTTGGCTTAGATTTTATCCAGGGGTGCATGTGAAGTGAAGAGCAGGGGAACGCTGGAGGGGTAGATGTGCGAAGTGAAGAGCGAGGGAGGAAGTTGGGGGGTGGAGAGGTAGGTGCGCGCGAAGTGAAAAGTGGGGTGGAATTCCGCGAGTTTTCCGGGAGACAGGATCATACGTGAGATGGGCGGGAGATGGGTCTGAAATAGGGGACACTCCCGGGAAAAACAGGATTGTTGGCAGGTATGGCTTAGTCACTTTATTGATCA